CCCCACGGCCACCTCACCCCGGATCTCCCACCCCTAGATACCCCACCATACCCCCAGATCTCCCAGGCCCCCTGGCCCACGCCCACCCTACCCCAGTCCGATCTCCCAGATCCCCTGTCCCCGTCCCCACAGCCACCCTACCCCGGATCTCCCATCCCTATATACCCCACCCCACCCCCAGATCTCCCCAGACCCCCTGGCCCACACCCACCCTACCCTGGCCCGATCTCCCAGACCCCCTGTCCCTGTCCCCACAGCCACCCCACCCCATCTCCCAGATCTCCTGCCCCACAGCCACCCTACCCCCGCCCCATCTCCCAGACCCCCTGTCCCCACGGCCACCTCACCCTGGATCTCCCACCCCTAGACGCCCCACCCCACCCCCAGATCTTCCAGACCCCCTGTGCCCATCCCCATGGCCACCCCACCCCCACCCCAAAGCTCCAACCTCCACTCCAGCCTTGCCCTCCCCCACTCACCCCCGAGCCCTCGGACAGGGACCCCGAGGTCTGGGACCGCTCCCGATGCACCGGGGACCTGCAAACACACCAGGAAGGGGATTACAAGAATGGGGCGCTCTGAGCATCCCTCCAGCAGTGCCATGGGGCCTCCCTTCTCTGCTCCCCTACGTGATGCGAGCTTCCTCCAGCAGTGCCATGGGGACACATCAAGAATGACCCCCCCACACACTTCTCTGAAGTTTGGTGCTATGTTGTGGGGAACTGTAATTCCCCTGGCTGCCCCGGATGTAGTGAGCCTGGGGCGACGCAAAATTGGGTGAGTTATTCTGGGCTGTGGTTGGCGCCCATGGGAAAGGAGCCAGGACTCCTGGGTTCTCTCCCCGGCTCTGGGAGGGGAGCGGGGTCTAGTGGTGAGAGCGGGGGGGGCTAGGAGCCAGGACTCCTGGGTTTTCTCCCCAGCTCGGGGAGGGGAGTGGGGTCTAGTGGTTAGAGCAGGGGAGGCTGGGAGTCAGGACTCCTGGGTTCTCTCCCCATCTCGGGGAGAGGAGTGGGGTCTCCTGAGTTACAGGAGAAGTCAGTTCCCCTTTTCTGTGCCTCTGTTTCCCCTGGGGGGGACAATCCAGAATCCTCTGCTCTAGGCAGCATCAGGCCCTGTCTTTGTGGGGTGAGGAGGGTGCAGGATTTGGTAGATTTCCCCCTCCCCACGGTGCCCCTCTTACCATGACTCCTGCTCCGCTGGCCCCTCCTCATCCATAGTCGCTCAGCGCATCCCTGGGCCCCCCTTGCACCTGCCGCCTGCTCCCCTTGGCCCTCCAGGGCGCGGGTGGCTCGGCACCAAGTCCCCGAAGCCGAGCGGCGCTTCCGCCCCTGTGGTTTCCTGCACTGGGGGAGGCGGGGGGGGGGGCAGTTCCTGTGTTTGTAGCGATAGCACCAAGGGTGCTGGCCCCACACTGCTCTGCCCAACGGCACCTCCCAATACCAGGGGAGAGCGCCCCCTGCTCCGCCCCGCTCCCTGCCCCACGGTGCCCCCACAGCGCCCGGCCCTGCGTGCCAGGGGAGAGCGCCCCCTGCCCAGCCCCCTCACCCCGGCTTCCTTCTGCAGCTTGGGCAGGAGACAGCCGCCTCCGTGATGCTCAACCACTTCCTTTCACCTGCCACTCCCCTCCAGGCAGGTCAGCCACAGACACGAAACTGACTACAGATGCCGGTTCTCTGCAGCAGCGCCCACCGCCTGCACAGAGACGGTTTGCCTGGCACTGAGATGCAGCCAGCTCTGGGGTGAGGCAGCTGGGGAACAGCCACACATAACGCTGCCCAAGGTCTGCCATGCGGACTCCAGCCAGGCCGGGGGCCAGGAGAGAACTTATTTTCCTTATAATGTTTCCGGCTCCTAGACATTTATTACAACGGCCAGTAAAAAAACAACGAGGCTATGAAAAGTAACAAGGCTCCGGAGCGGGGGGGCCTGACAGAAGGGTGATGGGTGTTAAAGGAAGAAGAAGGGGGGTGCTGCCACCTGTGTGCCCCGTCGGTCCATGGGCCCCCCCATATCCACAGCAACCCCTCTGGGTGGGGTCCCTTTGCCCCATGCTTCCTCCTTCCCGCACCGCTGCCCCAGGGCCCACCCCCCCCCCCCCCGCAACCCCCCCCCCATTGCACCAGGCCCACCACTAGCCCCCACTCTCCTTCCAGAGCCGGGGAGAGAACCCAGGAGTCCTGGCTCCCAGGCCTGTCCCCAGTCACTCAGGGTGGCCTTGGGAGAGGATATATCAGGCTCACTCACCGAGCAACTCTTAAAGGGGCAGCTTCTTCTCTACACCCCCACCCAGTCCTCCACAAACAAGAACTACACGCCTTTCCAAGAGGGCACACGCCCAAGTTTCTTAAAGGGCCAGAGACTGAGAAATTGGGATGGGAGATTAAGCTAAAAATAGGTGCAGTGAGTTGTTAAATACTCCCCTCCCCACAGTGCAACAGGGGAAAAACACCGGGCAGGCATGACAAAAATACCAGACAATGTCCCCTTTAAGCGAAGCCACGCCCCCCATAGCTTGATTGGCCCAATCAAAGTGGCTGCATTTTAGGCCACGCCTCCCATGTTGCGATTGGTCAGTTAGTGATCACAGTAATATCTCTGGTGTGATTGGTCGGTCACTGTGTGAAGTCACAACTCCGTGGCATGAGTGGCTGGTTGGTTTCTGAAGCCACACCCCCTGTGGTGTGATTGGTCAGTCAGAGTCTTAGGTCTCGCCCCACTCAGGGCAATTGGTCAGTCAGAATCTGATATCACTACTCCATGGTGTGATTGGTTGGTCAGGGTCCAAGGCCACACTCCTAGTGGGCCAATTGGTCAGTTGTCATCTGAGGTCCCGCCCTCTGTCATGTGATCTGCTGGACGGGATCTGGTCGCTCGGTGCCTGGGGCCACGCCCCCTGGGGTGGGATCTGGTCGCTCGGTGCCCAGGGGCCACGCCCCCCAGGGTGGGATCTGGTCACTTGGTGCCCGGGGCGGGATCTGGTTGCTCGGTGCCCGGGGCCATGCCCCCTGGGGTGGGATCTGGTCACTTGGTGCCCGGGGCCACGGCCCCCCAGGGTGGGATCTGGTCGCTCGGTGCCCAGGGGCCACGCCCCCTGGGGTGGGATCTGGTCGCTCGGTGCCCAGGGGCCACGCCCCCCAGGGTGGGATCTGGTCACTTGCTGCCCGGGGTGGGATCTGGTCTCTTGGTGCCCGGGGCCATGCCCCCTGGAGCGGGATCTGGTCGCTTGGTGCCTGGGGCCACGCCCCTCGGGGCGGGATCTGGTCGCTGAGGGCCACGCCCCCCAGGGGAGGATCCGGTGGGTCGGGGGGGGGGCAGGCTCACAGCACAGTGCTCTCGGTGCAGGCGCCCCCCAGCGAGGAGCGGAAGGCCTGGAGCTGGGAGACCCCGTGGAGGTGGACGCCGGCGGCCGCCACCACCAGCACGTGGAAGATCTGGTGGGAGTTGAACTGCGGGGAGGGGGGAGAAAAGGGGAGAGGTGAGCCTGGCTCCGCCCACCTCCCCTGGCAGGAGCAAGCCAGGCCCCGCCCCCTCCCTGGGCACCCAACCCCCCCAGGAGGAGGTTAATTATCAGCCCCACCCCACCCAGGGGGTAAGTACCACAAACACTCACAGAGACAGAAAAGAGTTCGCTAAGATCACACAGAGCCTGGAGCAAGGCTGGGGAGAGAACCCAGGTGTCCGGGCTCCCAGCGCCCCCTGCTCTGATCGCTAGAGCCCGGTCCCCTCCCAGCGCCCAGAAAGAACCCAGGCGTCCGGGCTCCCAGCAGGTGGGCGGGGGACTCACCCAGATGTCGCACTTGCCGGGGAAGAAGCGCTCGGGCACGCGGGCGGCGTACAGCGCCGCGCCCAGGATGTAGAGCAGCGCCATGAGGAAGAGCCAGCCCATCTGCCCGGCGCTCGCCGCTCGCCCCGGCCCCTCGGCCAGCAGGAAGTGCAGGGTGGGCACCAGCCCGCTGAGCCCCAGGCCCAGGAACACGCCTGCCGGGGGCAGAGAGAGCGGTCAGGGCGTGTCCCCGCCTCAGGGGCCCCCTGCGCCCAACCCCACTGCCAGGGGCCCCCCGCGCCCAGCCCCCACCTCAGGAGCCCCCATGCCCAGCCCACAGCCCCCACTGCCACGGGCCCCCATGCCCAGCCCCTGCCTCCAGGGGCCCCCCACACCCAGCCCCCAGTCCCAGGCTCCAGGGGCCCCCGCGCCCAGCCCCCACTGCCAGGGGCCCCCACGCCCAGCCCCCCTCTGAGCCCAGCCCCCAGCCACCCCCTGCACCCATTGCCAGCCCCTGTGCTCAGCCCCCTGCCTCCCCCAGCCCCCACTGCCAGCTGCTCCCTGCGCCCACTGCCAGCCCCTGTACCCAGCCCTCAGCTGCCCCCTGTGCCCTGCCCCCACTGCCAGCCCCGTCGCCCCCTGGACCCAGCTCCCACTGCCAGCCCCTGTGGCCAGCCCCCTGCAATCCAGGCCCCCGGGGCGAAGGGGCGCCCACCTGCTCGCACAGCGCGGTACTGGGGCGTGGCGAAGTGGTCTGACTGGGACACCGTGATGGCCGTGATGCCCAGCACGCAGACGATGACGAGGTAGATGAGCTGGGGCTGGGGCGAGCAGTAGAAGGAGTAGTACAGCCAGGGCACGAAGCTGCCCACGATCAGCAGCGTGATGCCCGAGTAATCCAGCCTGCGGGGGCAGCAGAGAGAACCCAGGAGTCCTGGCTGTCCCCCCCACCTCTAACCACTAGGCCCCACTCCCCTCCTAGAGCCGGGGAGAGAACCCAGGAGTCCTGGCTCCCAGCCCCTCCCCCCCAGCTCTAAGCCACTAGGCCCCACTCCCCTCCCAGAGCCGGGGAGAGAACCCAGGAGTCCTGGCTCCCAGCCCCGCCCCCCCCCGCTCTAACCACTAGGCCCCACTCCCCTCCCAGAGCTGGGGAGAGAACCCAGGCGTCCTGGCTCCCAGCATCAACCCGGCCACCCCAGACTCCACTTCCTTTCCTGAATGGTGGCTAGAAGAACCCAGGCGTCCGGCCTGGCGGTGCCCCGCCCCCAGGGGTGGCACTCACTTGGAGAAGGTGCGGGACACTCTCTCCGAGTGGCAGTACACCGTGTGGAAGAGCCAGGAGAAGCAGAGGCAGAGGGTGGCCCCCAGGAAGAACGTCCCGAAGACGACCCGCTCCTGGATGGGGGCCACATAATTCATGTTGGGGCTGAACATGTAGCCAATGCCCAAGACGAGGAAGAAGAGGAAGCCTGGAATGGGAGGAGAGGAGAGTCAAAATGCAACCACCTCTGGGGCGGGGCAGCTAGGGAACAGCTGCACATAACGCCACATGGGGACGGCTCGCCCGGCGCTGAGATATACCCACATAAAACGCAGCATCTCCTTGCACTGCAGCGCCCCCTAGCACCTATCTCTGGTCCCACCCAGTGCCCCCGGACGCCTGGGTCCCACTGACCGATGAGGTGTGTCCAGATGTTGCCGGTCTCCGTGTGCAGGCGGAAGATGCTGCGGAAGCAGGCGCGGAAGGAGGGCATGGGCGGGCGGTGCCCGTGGAGAAGGAAGTCGTTGTCCTTCAGCCAGTCGGGCAGTACGTCGTAAGGGATGACCCTCCAGCGCCCCTCCCACACCTGCATGGAGAGAGCCAGGAGAGAACCCAGGAGTCCTGGTGCCCAGCTACCCCTCCCTCTGCTGTAATCACTAGACTCTCCCCGCCCCTCCCAGAGGCAGGGAGAGAACCCAGGAGTCCTGGCTCCCAGCC